CTTATGACTCGTTTAAAACTTACCTAGAATATATCTAAAACAAAGCCTGTTGATGCTGAAAAACAGCAAGTGTAAGGCAATATGTTGTACAAGCGCACGTGTACGCTCGCCGGGTGTCTTACAAATCAGCTCGGATGAAGTTAATGACGCGCGTAAGCTCATATTCCCATTTGTTATGCTATTGATACAAGTATAGGAATATATTACCAGAATATACTATCCGCTGGTCTTAGTAAGTAGGATTACTAGAATTAGCACTCTTAGCAGTGGCATGTTACTTCTAGCCGCAGTATACTAGCCAAACTTCGTAAAATGTGACAGCAGCAGTTAATTTGCTTTATTAGCTACACATAATTCTAATCTAGCTTACCTTGAAATCTAGCTGGCTGTAGCTTTATAGGCGTTAAGGCTAAGATGGTTAACCCTAACAGTTGCAATCTTCCAGGCCCGGTTCCTGAGTAGATGGGAGAAGTCTTGGGAAGGCCAGATTGTTAGGAATAGTGTATTCTGCAGAAGGATAGGAGAATAGATGTAAAGAGTTTTGAACTCTCGGGTAGTGCGTCCTTTCCCTATTCGGGTCGTCTCCGGAGTGAGGCTTGAAGGCAGACACCGCATTGTTGTCTTTGTCCCACGGATTGAAGCCAACCTACTAAATAAGGTCAGTCTACTACAGTGGGAATCTCGTCGGACGGATTGAAGTCAAGCCACTGATGGTTGAGGCCAGAATGGGGGAGACTTGGTGCGTGTGTTTGGGTGCGCGTCAGTTACGTCTGGCAGCAGTGGCGGTCGCCCGTCCGTTTGGGTATGCCTCGAGGCACGCGGGAAAACTGCTCGGCACGAGGTCCTAAGCTCTGAGTGACCTCGTCTGTTGCGTCAAGCGTTAGGGGGGGTGTTGGTCAGATAAGACCACTACAGCTTAATTATACATTTTAGACACAAATGCATTTCGTAGTTTAGACTTTCTTAGCTTTGATAGTGTACACTTGTCCTCCAAGCCTAGTCAAAGCTTTTAGCCTTTTGCAGTCTCAGCAACATTATTGTCCTCTAGTACCTTACTTGTAGAGTGCCTATTTAGAAAGCTGATGGTCTGACCTCTGAAAATGGCAGTGTCATTGCTAGCACCGGTACTACAACACTTCTTGTTAAGATTGTGGGGATATGAGGCCAGCGCCATTTTCTGACTAATAATACAGCCAGAAATATCTGTAGCAGTACCAGCCTTGGTTTCCAGAACTCTGGCTTGACAGCTACTGAAGGTGGGGTATTTACTCAAAAAAGCTTCAACCCACATTCACACTCCGTGCTGGGATCAAGGGACTATGAGCAGACGTTCCGTAAAATTCAAGCTACAGATAGATACTGTATTAGACCTATAGGTAGTTCCTATAGACGGCAAACTGCACAACATAAAGACATGGTAGGACTTGCGCCATTATTATTATTATTACTATTATCCAACTGTTAATCACTTTATCTCACACAGATCGGGAGTGCATACTGCGTGCTGTCTTCTTAAAAAGCACACAGACCATATTATAGTACACTATTTACTGGCCGTAGTAAGCATGCTTACTAAAATTAGGCACTTGCCTATAGCAGCAGTATTTTAGTCGAACCTAGTAGAAACGTACACAGCCCGACAGATAGAGTTGTGAGGGTGGAAACCAAAGCAAGCTCTGCTGTGCCCCAAACATGTACTTACTCGGAATATTTGAAACCAAGATTCACACTGCTTGCT